AAAATATGACCACATACATAAGCACACACTCATAAACACACACAAACATACTCATAAACATGCATGGGCAAACATACACCACACACAGAAATACACACACATAAATACATACACCACACGTATAAACACACACCAAACACATAAGCACACACACAAACATCCATACACACCATTGGGGCTTAATTTAGTTAAAATACTATTAAAATGACAACCCCACTGTATCTGACTACTCAAAAACCTATACAAAGTCTTTTTAACCAAATAACCAGATTTCAAGAGAAATTGAGTGTGTGTGTGTGTGTGTGTGTGTGCGTGTAACAATCTGACGCCAAGATAAAGATCAGTATCCTAGATAAGTCAGTTTCCACTCTGGCTGCAATGTCATGATCCTCTCCTCCACACCAAGTATTAGGGCTCTGGGGTCCAGATTCAGGCTCTGGAACAGCCACCTCCTCCCTTTGATGCTCTGACCCATGATGACGGACCAGACACACCCACTAAATAGTGACTCTGAAGCTCTGCTGCCTCCGCTTGAGGGTCCTGGCTGGCCTTTCTAGGTCAGGGATACAGTGCAGGGAGCAGCGGCCTGTGCTCAAAAGTCTTGGGTCCAGCTGTTTGGGATGGGGCCAGGGTGCAAAGGGAGCAGAAGGCCAGGGAAATAAGAGCACCTGGGAGTCAGACACAGGGCTCCTGGAAACACGGGTGCGGTCTCTGCCTTTAGGTAAAGATGTCTTAAGAGCATTAGCACGTACAATCCCACATGACAGTTTTTAAACCACACTGGTATGACTGAAGGACGTCAAGATTGTTTCTAGGTGCTGCAAAGTACAAACAGAAAGAGACTCACAACTTAAATGAGTTAAGAGAATTCACAAAGATCGTCCAAACCCTTCCACAGAATGAGGAGGAAATGGAGACAGGGACGCTTGCCCAAGTTGGGAGTGACAGAGATGGAACTAGACACTGTTCTCCTGATTTCTAGTCCATTTCTCTCTCAACTCCACCATGGATAAAGGAAAATTTTAAATTCACGTGCCTATATAAGACAGACTAAAAATAATGGTTACATAATTAGAATTGCTTTTCATCTACAGCTAATTACATAGCAATCTCAGGCATATTATTAATACCTGTCACATCACTTAAATTTTTTGCAAGTAAAGCAACTCTAATCCCAGGCCAGCTTCTTAAGCTGTAGAACACGGTACAAAATGAAAATGCCCCTGGACTATCTGCTCTCCTCTCGAAAGAGAGGCCACTCCTTGGCTTGCAGAAACCTGCCTCTCTCTGTTCCTCACAAGTTCTCTGTTCCTCGAATGTTCCTCCAGCAAACATTTACCCCTAATGCATATGACAGTGTCCAGATTTCCTCCTCTTAGAAGGTCACGATCACAATGGATTAGGCTTCATCTTCATGACTGCATTTTAATTTAATTATCTTTTTAAGGACTCTATCTTCAAATATAGTCATATTCTAAGGTTCTGGGGGTTAAGACTTTAAGATATGAATTTTAGGGAGGCACAGTTCAGCTCCTAATAGTCATTATTCCTCAAATCCTGTAAATTCCACAGAAGTGAGCTCAGGAAAAATGACTCCCAAACAATCTATGCCTCCTTTTAAAAGGCTTACTACAGGAGAGCCATCCTCAACCCTCCTGGTGTGTCAGATTCCTCTGTATACACCCACAGCATGTCACAATGTTCATAGATATGATTTTTATAATTTTAAAGTTCTTTTCCCAGTAGACAGCAAGTTCATGAGGGTAAGTTCCAACTTGACATATTTAAAGCTATGTCCCTTGGTTTCTGGCCCATAGAAAGCACCAAGTTAACATTTCTTGAAGGAAGAGAAGGTCAATCTACCATACACAAACCAATGTAAACAAAATTCTAGAACCTTCTAATCTTGGTCCCATTAGCCCAGAAACTACCCTAGGGATCCACTTCTCTGATTTTGCAAGAGAAGATTAAAGGATAAGGTACATTGATAATTTCCTCAAATATTTGATTTTAGATCTAACAAGTAAACTTTTTTCCCCATAAAGAAACAATTTTATGGTTATTTATGAGATTTCCAGCTGCTGCACAGGAATGGGATGTGTGGGGGTGGAAATATTTTCCAAATACTGACATAAATCAAGCTGTGTGACAAATACACAAACATTAATTGCTACCACAAAAACACACTGTCCTTGCCTCCAAGACTCAAAATGATCTTGCAGTGCTTAGTCCCATGTCCAGGTAAGACCAGTGTCCACTCACATTTGTAGCATCCCATTGCAAATCACTCAATCAACAAACATTAACCTGGACTTCATACTTAGAATATGAAGATGAGTCTAATAGCATTATGCTAAAATCTTTTTTAAAAAAGAAATTAAGTCATATTAATAAAGGTCATACTGTGAAATTCCTGGAAACTTTCTATGTATCAAATAAAATTAAGAGAAGTGCCAGATTTGGGGATAAAATAATTGAGATATCTTCTTTCTTGAAGTGTACTTCAAAGTAAGAATGCTTTACACATGGTAAAGATGATTTTTTAAATATAATCACAGTGATTCACACAACATCAATTGACCTAAGCATAAAGTGTACTTTAATATTGGCCAATGACATAACTGCTGTCAGTCAGTTCCATCATCTCTGCAGGGTAACATGACAAAGGACGGTGCAATTATCTGGAACAGCAAGACCATGTACAATTCACTCTACCAAGATTTTCAAATTCCAAATGCCATGTATTGTTTCACAAGCATGGTGGAGATTCTTGACTATCTAGCTATCATTTAAGCATTATTCTCTTAGGAAGAAGGATGGTCCCAAACAACTCACACTTCCTCAATATCTGGAAAAGGCACATTTCTTTTTCCTTTCTGTCAGTGGTGGACCAGAAGCCAGTGTACACTAGCTTCATCTTCTTGGCTACCACTCCCGCCGCGTCAGTGTCCTGTCAGTGAGTCACTGAGTTCCTAGTTCTTGCTTTGCACCTAACACTATGCTGTACAATGTTGGGTTGGAGGGAGCCTCTACTCAACAGGCTTGTGATCAGGCTGGAGAAACAAAACTTATATTCAAGGAATAAGAAAAGAAGAAATATAAGGCAGTAAAAAGCCTGAGCTACCATGGACTCCTGGCTTGCTCTGACACAAACTAACTTGATTCCATTGAAAATCCACTGCCTTCCCTAAGGGACAACCACTTCTTTAGTGGAGGAAGACGTCACTAGGTGCTCTGAAAGGTCCTTCCAGCACAGCAGATCAATTCTGACACTGGTTCTGGGAAAGTAGAAGAGAGTGCCTTCCAGGAAATGTGTAGAAAAATGCACAACAAATAGCTCATTGGCAGGTTGGATGAGCCACCCAAAGTTCTGTAGAAGTGCAAAGTCATAAGATTGGCCTAGAAGCACAATAAGAACTAGTACGACAAGCACAGTAATTGTGGTGTTGTGTGTGAGCTCATGGGGACTGCGGCATTTATGAACCCCACTCTTTCTCTTTTCATCCCTTTTTTTAATGACTAAATATTAGCTAGCCCCAATCCATTTCTAATCATCTTACCTCAACAGGACAGTTACAGGAGAGAGCTGTGTTTAAGGAGGATGGATGAGGAATTAATGCAATTCACGGAGCAACTATGTAGTCAAATTCTCCCCCAGCCTTAGTAATAGTCACATTGGCAACCTACATCTGGGATTTCCTCTAAAAGGTATCAAATCACATGCACAACATGCTCTCCATCACCCCAATGTGTAATATGAATTGGGCAACAATCCAGGTGTCAGTGGCAGTGACAGAGAGTCCTAAAATTCCCATGGAGATTATTATCTGGATTGGTTCCTTTGGCAATGAGATCAGCAGGTGGTGAATCTCTTCTTTAACACTTACTGGATGATTTGTAGAAGAAATCCTTTAATTTAAAAGGTAGTTGACATCACTTGCTAATGAATGATAACTGTGTGATTAGGTGCCCAGAAAACACTACAGACATTAGAGACTCAAGTTTCTTATTGCGTACACATACTGCTAAGGTTATAGAAGAAATTCCCAGAAAAGTTGCTATCAAGTGTAGGAAAAGTGGGGGATGTTGGTCTGTAGAGCAGTCACTTGTCCCCTTGTCCATCCCTTCTCCTGTTTGCAATGTCATCCTGGCTCCCTCACTCCTCTGTCATCTCCTTGTTTTCCCTTTGAAGTCCGTGTTCCAAATTGTTAAGAAATAAAGGGTTGTTACTTTACTTCTCTTGTTAACTGTCATTGTGGCATTGTTTACTTTTCCTTCTGAAGAAAGGAAATATGGAATACTTAAGGAAATGTCTCAATTTCCCATAGCCCTTTATTCATAGCTTACTATTTCCTGCACATTAAAGAGAATGTGGGTTTCCAAGAAAATAACTTGGGTCAGTTTATCTCTGAAAGCTCCGTTAACTACTTAGGACAAGACAGAGAAGGGCAGAACAGATCATATCCAGGGCACAAGGGTAGGGGACAGAGCTCAACAAACACCAGGCAGAACACAACACAACACAGACAGAAGCATCTCTGCAGAATTCATTATCTAATAATGTGTTGACAAGTTTTTCATTGTCCCTCCATTCATCATTCTCAGTATCATCAAACATTTAAATCTGCTTTCCACATGCAGGTGTGATGAGCTGTCTGGTAATATTACCCACTAATGTATTTAATGCTGTTAACATTGATTATGGAGTCTTTAAGCTAGATATCCTCTAGACGTTCAGAAAAGTTGTATTTTTAAAACCAATATACTATTATGAATGTCTTATATGAGTCTCATCAACTAATGGAAAAAGGATATAGAAGAGCCTTTTTCCTGCTTCCCATTAACAATATAAAGAAACTTGAGCATAGAGAAATGAAATAATTTACACAAGGCTCATACTTTCTGGCAGCAGAATAGAGAGCAGGTAATGGGCTTAAATAAAAAGAGGTCAATCAAAAGAGCCAACTCTTCAACCTGTGAAGATGTTTAAGTCACAATACCCTTTAATCCGCAGGCTGGCTCCTTTGTCTCTTGAACTCTCTGCCTCCGGTAAACGATGTGTGGGTAGGCACCCTCAGCCACTGGATGCTTTTTAACAGGCTCAATGAAAAAGTCTCCATGTGGTAGATGGAAAAATCCAGTCTGAAAATACATTCAATAAGAAGATTTAATTGAGTCAATTCTAGGCAAAGAAAATTAGTATATTAGGACAGGAAGAACAGGCAAGGCCCACAGTGGTATCAAATAATTTCAATAAAATAGCTGAAAACAGACTGCGTGCAGTGCTGAGATTCGGTTCCATTTTGACCGTGAATCAGAGGCCAGGCACAGGAGGAGAATGTGGGCCTGTCACTAATGAGACTCATTTGTTCCATGGAAACAAAGCGGAAGTCCAGGACTCCTCAGAGATGGCTGGACCTAGGGTCCCTTTTTGTACTGTTATCAACCCAATACTGATGTCTTTGAAGAAAAAATCAACAACAAAACCATCAAGAAAAAGGGCTAACTGGATTTCTTTAGACTTGAATTTGGGACTTGAATTTTCTTTGTGCAAAAGAAACAGGTGGGACTTCATTTGAGGAAAGAGTAACGATTTTGTGGATCATATGAAGGAGAATGCCTGAGAGCCAAATATTTTCCTGCAAATGGCTCCCGTCCATCTACACTCCTTCACAGGTTAAGCCTGTGTACACAGGAATCTCTTCAGCCTCAATATTTCTCAGAAGCTGAATGGAGACCTGGGAGAGCTGGTGACCTGCCAGTACAGGGCGTGCAGGAGACCTGCTCATGTGCAAGTGGGGCTGCTGACCCAGGCCCCCACATGTGCTGAGGAGAAGGGAACACAGGCAGGAAAAGATACTGCTGTTGGGGGAAGAGTGGGGGGGGCATTTCCCAGCTGAGCTCTGCACCTCCTCCCTCTTCTAACACACAAAGAGTTCTGTACATCTGGTGCCCAGGTGGCCCTGGTTTATTGGTCTCTTCTTGGCATACAGGAGCCAGGTCATGCTGGAAGAAATCATCTGTGGTTTGATTACAAAGAAAGGCCTGGCTCCACACTTTCCCTGAAGCACACGGCCCAAGAAAATCACCTTCCTCTGTTACCAGGTTTGGCTCTGAGTAAAAGGAGGCACTTCCCAGCCCAGTTTTTCTTGCAATCTGTTCACTTCTCATATACCCCCAAAGAAAAATGGAAGTGAAATTGAGAAAGTATGAATTCACTGAGGACTTGTACTCTGTATTCAGAAGAACCCAGGCAGAATGAGATCACCTCCTTTATTGTCTACTCTTCTCCCTTCCAGTATCCACTAGTCTTAACAAACCGCTAACTCTCTTTTGGAAATAAAACAACCTAACTGTTTAAATAAGTTATAAATATCTGTGAATGCTTTCTAAGCCAAGCCTCTAAAAGCTGTTTTAAAGAAATTTTATTTTGTAGCATATTGAGAGATAGACAAACCATAACTGTAAATACCCATAAGTCTTTCTTGAAGGGAACATGAATGTGAAGAAACGGTACATTATACGAGGTGCCATGGTGCACACCTGTGATCCCAGCAACTCAGGAGGCTGAAGCAGGATGATTGCAAGTTTGAGACCAGCCTTAGCAATTTAGCAAGACCCTGTCTCAAAACTGGAAAAAAAAAAGAACTGAGAATGTAGCTCAGTACCCTTGAGTTCAACCCCCTGTCCCCCTGTCAAAAAAGAAAAAGAAAAGGAACACTACCAGTAACGAACTGACTCCATGTTCTTCTTCCCAATTAAAAATATCCCCCAAGATTAACTATTATCCTGATTTCTAATAAAAATAAATTAGTTTTAAGCCTATTCTTATTTTTTTTTATAAGATGCATTATTTGATGCAAAAGAAAAAAGTCTACTAATTCATTTCAAGTGTGGAGGGCTAGCCAATGGAAAGGATCTTGTTATGGTGAGTAACTTTCTCAAGGCCTATTAAATCACTCTTTTTTTTTTTTTGAGAGAGAGAGAGAGAGAGAGAGAGACAGAGAGAGAATTTTTTTAATATTTATTTTTCAGTTCTCAGCGGACACAACATCTTTGTTTGTATGTGGTGCTGAGGATCGAACCCAGGCAGCATGCATGCCAGGCGAGTGTGCCACCACTTGAGCCACATCCCCAGCCCCTTAAATCACTCTTGAAATTGCTTCAGTAGATAAGTGGCAAACGCAGGTGGTAAGACAGTGCAAAGGTGCCCTGGTGCATGTCAGTTGGCATCTGATCACCACTGCTCTCTCCTAAGGAAGGGTGATGAGGGACTGTCACATATTCCTCAGGACACTCTCAAGACTGAGAATAAATGCCCACAACCCCTCTTCCCTCCCCTCAACTTGTATCAAAGTGTTAGTCATCTTAATTTCTCTGACATTAAACTTCAGTTAGTAACAGTGACTTGGGGCTCAGGGAGAGACTAGCAATGTCTTAGAAGAAATTACTGAATAGGATGCTTTAAAGTCACAGAGCCTAGAAAAAGGTGACCTAACCTATGCTGTTGTGCCTTCAGGAGTACCACAAGTAAAACCTAGCAGGCTGAAGGTTAAGAACTCGTGGTATTATAGAACTAGTGGTATATATGTATATGAACGGCACCCTTGGAGTTGCACAGTGGAATTATGTTGCCCAAACTCATCACTCTGTCCAAGAAAGGAATTCCTTTTTATTTGAAAATATCATAAGTTACCACATCAAATTTTTTTGACTCCCATAGGGATAAGAATGTGATCGACATTCTGATAATCAAGAACTGAAATGAAAAAAAAAAGGGGGGAGGGGGATTGGGATAAGAAAGTACCTAAATTACCCGATTATGGTATATGGAGCACTAGAAAGGTAACACTTGCCCCCCATTATATACATAGAAAAGGGAATACAAGAGCATACCCCAAACCCTGCTTCTGGAGTATCAGTCTGCATTATTACATGGCCAGCCTGTGCCAACAGCTCTGAACCCTACCCACAAGATTCATAGCCTGACCAGGAAGATAGGTCAATGTTCTTGAAGACAGTGGGAAGGGAATAGCAAAGCCCTAGCATTTTCAAGTTGAAAAGGGTTCAATTATACTTAGCCCACAGACCAGCCCATTGCCACTGGCAGTGCTGGACCTAGATCCCAGACCTGGAGCCCTGTATACAGAGTTCTACCCACCTTACAGGGCACCCACAAGACAGCCCTTGCCTCGGTGCTATGGACTCCAGTGCTGTGGCTCCCAGGAGGTGGAAACCAGTGGAAGAGACTAGTTTCAGAGAGCAAAGAAGATTGAATTTCTACAGTCTCCAAAACACTTGGCTCAGTTCTAAAGCCATGCAAGCCTTCCAGAATGAGTAACTTTCTTGTTGCTGGTTTGTACGATGCAAACAACTTTTCCTCATTTAATAAGTATCCAGGACCACAAACCAGTTAAAAATAGAAGTCTCTGGGTTACACATACCTTGGAAGATGGAGAGGTGGTGGAGGTAGTGATGTCATCACTGGAAAGATTCCTCCAGCGTGCTCCACTGTCTACTGTGATGCCAAGAGCTCCCTCCTGGCTTCCATGGAGCCCAAGAGGAGAGTGACTGGTAATGCCACTGAGTTCAGGACCTACTGCCTGTGAATTTGGCAGCCCTAGTGACACATGTAGTTTGAAGAGATATGGGCTGAAGTCAGAAAGGTTCTCTCCATTGTACCCATTTGGCAGTTACCATGAGCCAGGCAGGTGTTAGAGATATGGCAATATAGAAGATGGTCCCTGTGTACTGGAATGATACTGTTGACAGCACTCACTGTAATGGTAAAGATGTTCTGTCTGCACTGTCTGGTTCAGTGGCTGCCAGCCCCATGTGACTATTGAGCACTTGAGATGTGGTTAGTGCAACAGAGGAACTGAATTTTTTATTTCATTTAACTTTACTTTCTTAAATTTAAATAGCTGCAGGCAGTTAGATTTCTTGTTTCTAGAAACTGGCTGACTAGGGATGGGGAAAGATCCATAAGCACATTCAAAATATAGTGATGAGTGTTGTAATCAAAGAAAGACTTGAGCACTTGCCTTAAAAAAAGAAATAACCGCGAAAATGTGACTATAACAATTTGATTTTCATGAGCAATCAGAAACCAGAGTGGGAACACCAATGCACCATAGGCAGACTTCAGAGAATTCATAGAAGCAACTATATATATAAATGCAGCATTTGCCAAAATTAGAATGAGTGTCCAGAAATAAACTTACCAGTGCAAAGACTGTGTGAGGAGGCTGCCACTGTCCTGAAGCCTGAAAAGGAGGCACAAATATCCCAGCAGAAGAGTGGAACTGGGGTTGTGGCCATAAAGAAATGGATACTAAGCTCAACTTCTCCAGGGAGCTGTCCCTGAGAGGCCTGGAACGTTAACCTACATGCCCTCATACCTCTCAGCTGCTCTTCAGAGAAGCCTGATGCAACTCTGTTACACAAGACCACTCCCAGTGCACTGGCTGCAGGTCCTACTGAGTTCAGAGTCTGAAACTGTAGGGGAAAATATTTTTTAAAAAATGGACAAAATGGGTTCCAAAGGATATTAAATCAAGTTATGACAGGGTTTATTAGAAACAGCATGAACTGTGTGATCTTGGTCATACTACTTAACACAGGAGCCCACCCAGTTTTCTCACCTATAAAATGGGGCAAAACCTGTGGTAACTTGTGACTTTCAGAGACGCTATATGTAAAATCCCTACCAGAGGCCTTGGTATATGATAGGTACCCAATAAATGTGTGATAGTCCATTTGGTCACAGCATCACCCACAAGAAACAAGTATAAAATGGTGTTTGAAAGCAAGTACTCCAGGTCCAGTTGCTCCGTTTGTCTCTTAGTTGCAAGTGACTTAACTTCTTGGGCCTCAGTTTCCTCATCTGGTAAATACAGTGGTTACAATAATTTATTAGAGGTTTTCATGTGGATTAAGTCAGTTTATACAAAGTGCTGGATGACTGTCAGCACCTAGTGCCTAGTAAGCATTAGCTATTAGCTATTATGACAGTCAAAGGGACATTCTCCAGATTGTGGGCCTGAAGTTAAGGGCTTCTGCGAAAACTCACAGAGGCCCTTTTAAAAGCTACCACCTGCCACACTGATAAACCTTATTCTTTGCTTCCACAGACCGAGAGG